CAGGAAATATTTACCTGTACAGCAAAGCAGGGGCCCAGCGAGCAGAGGAGAGGGTCTGGGTGTGGTGTCTGCCCACGTGCATCTGCCTACAACTCCTCTGCTGCAGCCAGAGGAGAACGGGTATGGAGGGAGAGCAAGGAACGAGAAGGTAGTTTTGCACGAGGGAGTTTAGAGACAGGTGTTCCACACGGATGCACGGGATCTGGAACCGCTGCCCCGAGCGTGAATCCTGGTGCCGCCCAGCGTTCACCAGCCAACTCATCTGGCTCCTCTGAGCCTCAGCTTCCCAATGTGGGAAATGGGAGGACGGAGAAAACCAAGCCCGGAGAGGTGCAGGAATTGAGTGCTGTAATTATACATACACTAGCCACATGCTCGGCACACAGTAAGTGCTGAACGTTGCCATTTATTATCATTTTCATTATCATCATCATCATGTCTGGCTATTGGTTCGAATAACAATCATTGTAAGTGACACTCATCACATATGAACTGCAATAATAAAACAGTGTTAAATAATAACGAATGCTTACTCTATTCCTGGCATTGACGTGTACACCGCCTCAATTAATCTCCACCTACTTTACAGTTATTATCAGCCCTTTGTACAGCTTCAGAAACAGAAGCTCAGAGAAGTTAAGTAACTTGCCCAAGGTCACCGAGCAGAGCAAAGGCACCCCTGGGATTCAAGCCAATGGATGCCAACCCCACAGCATGTGCTCTTGCCACCCTAGGCCCTCAGGCCTCACCGTCAACCTGGGGTCACCTGACAGACAGTGAAGGCCGCTCAGCTCACTTTAGTGAGCAATGCGTGCCTTGCACCCGGGGGAGGAGGAACCTGGAGGAGGGGGAGTTGGCAGAAGTGTCCCCAGCTGAAATGGATTCCATACCAATTCCAGCTAAATGTAGACTACATTTGCCGTTGGTGCATTATTCATGAAAATCACCGCTTCCCCAAGTCAGCACTGGGAGCTGGGCTGAAGTTCGGGAGCTTTGCTGATGCCTGCCCAACATGTCCACTCCTTGTGCAAAGGACAAGTAGGACTGGAGTCAGGACCGTGAACTCATTAAGGCTCTATTTGCCCTCTCCGAAACAGGGCCCACCCCTGCCCACCAGCTGACTTGGGAGCAGGCGAGGAGACCCACCGTTCTGTTCTGGCAGATTACGACACCCATGTTGGCTCTGCTCACCCCACGCACTGCTTGACGGCAAACATTCTCAACAGTCGCCTCCCTCCTAATGAGGAGCGGGGAGCACGTTCCAGAAAAGTGGCCCCAGATTGTCTGGGCCTGATTATTCCAGGCCAGAAAGGTCAATTCGACATTCCATCAGGCCCTGTTGCCAGCCAAAAGGCAGCAGTCGGCCTGGCGCCCTGCATCTGTGTGCCCGCCTCGGCTGGCATACAGGTGGTGTGATGTGAGGAAAGAGGGCCCCACCCTGGACAGACCAGGGGTTCCAACCCTCGACTCTGCCACCAAAGGCTGGGGGTTCTATCCTGTCTCGGGGGCTCCGGGGCCTGCCTGGCTCTGTCTGTGATGGATATGACCCTTGCCCCTCCAACGTGTGAGACTCAAGCAAGACAGTGCAGACGGAAGTGCTTTAGGGAGTGGACACGGCGTAGCCGGTTGAATGGCGGGTAGAGACCCAAGGATGTCCACCCAACGACGGCAGCACTCCTCACAACGACGCATCTGCTCCTACACTCACGCCCAGCCACAGAATCAGACCCTCCCCTCGCAGCCTTCGCAGGGAAATTACCACCCTTCCCTCTGAAATGGAAGTTCCGTGAGGGCACAGCTTTCCGTCCGTTTTCCCAGAGCCGCGACCACCTGCTCAGAGTAGGCACTCAGTAGATGTCTGCGGAACGGAGCATTGAATTCTGTGGGCCACTGAAGATTTCTGGGGAAGGCGGGCCGACTGGGGTGCTGGCCCTCACTCTCAGACACTCTGCTGACCCCCAGAGGGACCGGGGCTCTTCTACTCCCAGGCTCCAGTCTCTAGGCGCACGCACAGCTGGGAACACCTCTGGAGGGACGGATCTGCCTAGCGGCCAGACCAGAGCCCCTGCGTGACGACGGTCCCCGGGTTCCCAAAGAGCCCAGCTGGGAGCGCCAAGCTGCTCGGCCGCCCACCTCAGCCACCCACATCTGCGCCTGGGCCTTTGCCGTGCTTGCGCGTGCGCGCGCGCGCACACACACACACACGCGCTCGCGCGCGCGCGCGCGCGGCCTAGAACCCAGGGAGGGCCGTCTGCTCAGCCTGCCCCAGCGCCCCAGGGTCAGGGAAGCTCTCCAACCCACTCCAGGAAAACAACAACAGCACAGAAGAGGCCGCCTGGGACGGGGCGCCACGGCTTTGACAGGCAAGAGCGTTATATAAGTAACTGCCCCCCACGCCTCCTCCCCTCGGGCGAATAACGAACCCTGCCTCTCGGCTGTATAAGCCAAAATAATAATTACTCTCCAGCCCTCCGTCACTTGTGGATGTGGCCGGGGAGCAGGTGTTTAACTTGGAGGCAGCGAGCAGGAGACCACACGTACGCTCGTGATTTCTGCGCCGAAGCACCCAAGTCCCCGCTGGGCCCCACTGTTTTCCCAGGCATGCATGCCTGAAAAATTACTGGGGAGCCATGGAGCCACTTCTGGGGATGAGCTCCTAGGTGGGGGAGGGAGCCTCTGGAGAGCAGGCTTGTTTGGGGTCTGGCTTCCAGAAACAGTAAATGCTCCACGCCTCTCAGACGCCCCAAGGAGTGGACACCGGACTGTCTGGGACTGGGGGGGAGGGGGGGACAGCCGCAAAGCTGGCCAGGGCTCCCTGCACAGAAACCATCTTACAGCCGCGGCGGCGGGTGGGCAGCCGGGCGGCACTCTGGCTTCCAGCTGGGAATGTGGTGGCATCTTAGAATGAAGGCACAGAGCACCCCTAAACTAACGGTGAAAATGATTCAGCCACTGAAAGGCAAGCTTCCTGGGCTCGCGCTAAACAGATGGGCCTCCCTCCCTCCCTCCCCCCAGCAGCCTGCTCCGGCAGTGCTAGCCCGCGTCCAACCACCTAGAAGTTTATTGCCTTGTTGTGATGGTTTGGGTTTGCAGCCCCCGCCTCTAGCTCTCCCAGCCACTCTCTTTCCATTGGCTTGGGTTGATCAGGACTAAGGGAGGCCCGTCGGCACCGCAGGAAAACAAGCAGCAGAGCTGGGGCCTGACTCCCAGAGGCCGACACCCAGGGAGCTTTGCCAACAAGGGGAGGGGGCCCTCTCCCAGCCCCCCTGCGCCCTTGCTGGGTACCGGAGGAGGCCGCGGGCCCAGTCTGGCCTTTCCGGCCTGCTCTTGGACGATGCACTGACACTCTGCTCAGCTCCGCGGCTCCCGGGCCTGGCACTGCTCCTGGAAAGCCCCCCAACACCCTTCAGCTAGCACAGGGGCACTGTCCCCCGCCAGGCAGTGGGGCAACCTGTAGCCAAGGCCGCTGTGGCCTCCAGGGAGCCCCAGGAAATGCCCCAGGTGCCCACGGCCCTCTGGAGGGAAAAGCTGGACTTCCCCGGAGATAAACAGAAGAGGCAAGAGAAGGTCCCTCCTCCGCCAGCCCCCGCGCGCCCGGCGCACCTACCTCCATCGGAGTAGGTCTCGGTGCCGTAGCCGTCCTGCAGCCCGTTGCTCCAGGTCCCTTCGTACTTGGCCCCGTTGCCCGTGCACTCCCGCACCCCGTAGCGCCCCTTAAATCCGTGCGTCCACTCGCCCTTGTACACCCACTTCCCCTTGCTCTCCAGGCCGATGCCGTGGCGCTTGCCCTGCGCCCAAGTGCCCTGGTACGTGTTGCCGCTGGGCCAGGTGTAGACGCCCAGTACCTCGAAGCCGTGGCTCCACGAGCCGGTGTATTCGCCTTGGCCCTTGGGGCCGGTGCAGACGCCATGGCCGTGCGCCTTGCCGTCCTCCCAGCCTCCACAGTAGGACCCTCCATCGTCAAAATTAAACCTACCCCCACTGGACATGCATGTAACTCGGTTTGCAAATCCCGCAAACGGTGAAAAAAAAAAAAAGGCGATCAACAAACCGGAGTCTTGGTTGGCTGGCTGGCTGGCTGGTTTTGTTTTCCTTTTTTTTTTTTTTTTTTTTTAATTCATCCAGTTAAATATTTCTCTTAAATATTTAAGTAATTTAAAATATACTAACTGATAAAGTCAAAGCATTGGTTTCCAAGAATCTTAACCACCAGTATTTATTCTTTGTCAAGCATAAAGGTTGAGTTGGTGTAATACACTACAATTTGTCTAGTTTGGACTATCTCTGACTCCTGTGTAAATAAAAAGGCCCTTTATATTTTTCCATATCCATGTTGTTTTGCTTTTACAAAGTGTTAGAATTAATTGTTCACTTGTTTTTTAAAGCAGTGATAGTTATGGAGCACCACACTTTGTGAATTTGTGTGTGTGTATTAGTCAACAGAGCAGGGCACTCATATAATGTTGCTACAGTTTCTTCTTTATCATATACTGGGATATAATCCCTTTGAGTTTTATTTTTAGGAAATTAACAGCAGTAGAAAGGCAGAATTTCTCAGAACCATGGGGTCATCAAGTCTTAGCACTTGTGAAAGTTGTGAGCTTGGGTTTCAATTGATTTGGGTTTTTTTCCCACATTTGTATATAGTAATAATGATAGTTACCTTATGTTGAAAACCTTAATGTGTCAGTCTCCCTACCTGTATTATTTCTAATGCTTACAAATCTTGGTATTTGCTTCTCACAGAAAAGCAATCCTGGATTCATTTAAGTAATATTGCATAGCAAGTGGAAGAGTTAGGGTTCAGATTCATGGTGTTTGACTCCATCGCAGTATTTTTCCCATTATATTATTAACTCTGCCCCTCTACTCCCACCTTGACACACATACACACACACCCGCCCCCGGCGCGCCGGCTGCCTGGAGAGGGGACCTGCTCCTCCTGGGCTAGGGCGCGTAGCGCAGGCGGAGGCCCCAGGCGCCCCGCCCGCCCGCCTTCCCCTCTTGCTCGGGCCGGCCTGGAGATAGGGGTCCAGCCGGGGCGCCCCAGCCCCCCCTTTCCCGGGTCTTGGATTTAAAGGGACAGGAACTGCGTAACGGGAAGGCGCCCAGCACCCAGGGCGCTCTCTACCCCCTCCCGGGAGCTGCGAGGTGAAGCCCTGCACAGCAGGCCCAGGGCGGGCCGGGGGCGCCCCGCATGTTTCGGCTCCCCCACCCCGAGCCTCGCTCCTCGCGCCCTCTTCCCGCCTGCGACGCCTGGCCCCTACTTGACTGAAGAGGCTTTTGGCGGACCACAGGTGGTTTTCTCTACGACAAATGATCCGTCCTTTTTCCTTACAGGCAGTTCGGGTCCACATTTGGGGGAAGGGTGATGCTCGCCTTAGAAAACTGGTATTTGGAGATTAGCCCCGCCCCATAAATTAAGAGAAAGTCCGGCTACACGCACATACCTTGGAGTAAAGACACCCAAATTCCGTCCCTCCCCCGCGCCCTGGCCAACAGGTAGCCCCCCATCCCGGGAGCGGTTGTGCTTTGGGGGAGCAAAGTGGGATCGCCACTCGGGCGTTATTAGGTCTCTCTCCACACATACTCCCATCCCCCACCCGCAAGAGATGGTGTCTGATTCCTGGATCCGAGTATCCTGGGACCAATTGGAAATGCATTTCCTGGCCCATAAATCCGTAGGCAGGAGCCCGAGTTCCCAGCTCTCCCGGAATGTGCTGGGCAAACGGCAGCACCGGAGTGCTGCGGGGGGGGACTGCACAGGGTCGGGGCTCGCTGGAGTGCAGGGGGTGGCTCGGGCCGAGCAGAGTCGGGAATTGCAAGACAGGCCTTGGAGCTGAGGTTTAGGACGCCAAAAGAACTACACTTTGAAGTCTCCACTAGCCAGGGGCCCTGCTCACACCGCCTGCCAGCACTGTTCCCACCTTTGGCCAAACGGGCTCTCACTGGAAAACAAGCCCTCCTCCTTCTCCCAGAGTTCACGCTCAACTCCTTGTCTTGGCCTGAGCACCAAAGCCCCCTCCCTAAAGGGCCACCAGCCTGCAGGGCAGTCCTCTCTTTACCACCCCGCTGTAGAGGGACAATTAGGGAGTTTTGGGTTTTGCTTTGTGACTTTGCAGTTACAGTGATTCAATGCACCTTCTAGGTGGCGCCTCCCTGTGCTCTCCGGAATGTTTTTCTAAACTCCTAGGGGTGGAATTCTTGGGGAGAGCACATCTTGGACTTAATGGAAGTTGCCAAATGGCTCTCCGGAACACCTGGAACAATTTCCTTCTCACCCTGCAGTGCACTGCACTTCTGGTTCTCCACTTTCTGGCTAAAACTCGGTGTTATCAGACTTAGGTCTGCATTTATTTTATTTTTTCTCTCTAAATGGATATAAAATAGTATCTCACGGCTGTTCGGTGTAAATGAAAAATAAGATACCGTGAATGTGTAAGGGAAAGGGCTGCAGACTTTCCTCAAGATTCAGATTCAAATCCTGCCTCCATGGCCCAGCAGCTGTGTGGCTTTGGGCAATTCCCATCAGGTCGCTGTGAGAACTCAGCTCAGCTGAGCGCCCAGTGCCTGGTAGGCGCTCAAGAAGTGGGAAGCGGTGTTACCAGAAGCCCAGCCCCCAGCAAAGGTCATGGCTTTCCACATGGGATGCCCAGCCTTCCGCCTGCTTCCCCCAACACTGCTGGCATAAAATTGCCGTTTCTCTTGGACAGCCTGCACTTTCATTTTATTTCCAAGCTCTCTTTTGCTGATTCAGCAGCCCTTCCTCACACAAGCAGTGGATTGCAACTGAGATCTCGTTGGGAAATGGTGATTGGTTCCGAGCAATTACTGGTCAGCACCTTCTATCTCTGGCTAATGCATACCCTTCCCCCAGGCAATTCCAAACACGCTCCCCCCCATGACCCTCCCTCCTCTCAGATTAGCTCCAACAGTGACAGACTCTCTTCCCTGAAATACAGATATTAGAGGCATTCATTTTGTGCAATTTGGAAATCATTCTCCCATAAAGTAGGGCTGGCAGTATTGATTTCTTTTTGGAGGAAACTGTCCAAGGCTATAAACACAGTACCACCCAGCAATCTCAAAACACAAACCAGGGAGAAGGAACAAAAAGCTAGACCACCATGAGGAATTTCATGGTTCTGTGCACCAGGCTCTGGGGTGAACAGCTCACGTTAGTGACTCCACGGGCAACTCCTCAGGTGACCTGGGCTTCCACAAAGACCAGGTTAAAGCCCGCTCCGGGAAGTGCCCGGCCAAAGGGAAGATATTGATTAAGCAGGATTCCAGCCCAAGCTGTCTGCTTTGCCAGCCTCCAGGGTGGGCATTGCCATTTCCCATGCCCACTCCCTCTTCCTGGGACCGGGAAGTTTTCCGGTTTCAGCTCCAGAAAGGCTTCCTGTTTTCCCTATATAAAGAACACCTCCCTCTCACCTCCACAGAAGCCCATGGGTTTCCTTCGGAGACCTGAGCTGCAGTCCATAGTTTCCCATTTGTCTCCTTGAACGTGCCTGTGTTTACCCTACACGGTGAGACATCTGCATCGGGAGCTCCCTTCCTTCATGCTGTCTTATAACGTGATACTGACGCTGTATCTGCTGGGAGGTGGGCCGGCTGGTGAGTATAGCAGAAGCGGCACAATGTGATTTCGAAGGTTAGGGTGTAGACGGTGACACAGCTTCTGCCTCATGCTCTTGAGATCTGGGAGCATGGGCCCATCTCACCATGCTGTCAGGAAGCCCAAGCAGCCCGTGAAGAGGCTCACCAGGGGAGAAATGGGCCCTCCAGCCCTCAGCCCCAGCTGGACTCCCAGCCAACAGCCAGCCCCAGTTGACAGCTCTGTAAGCACACCATTTTGAAAGTGAGTCCACCAGCTCCTGTCCGGCCACACCAGCAAATGCCACATGGATCAGAGACCCCACCCACGGGGCTTTCCCCACCATGCCTTGTCATAATTCCAATTTCTCTTTTTCCCTTTTGAGGTGTAACTGACACACAACATCATACTAGTTTCAGATGTACAACAATGATTTGTACATTTGTATATGATTGCAAAATGATCACCACAATAAGTCTAATTACATCCATCACCATACAGAGTTACAGAATCATTTTTTTCTTGTGATGAGAACATTTAAGATTTACTCTCTTAGGGCTTCCCTGGTGGCACAGTGGTTAAGGATCCACCTGCCAATGCAGGGGACATGGGTTCGAGCCCTGGTCCAGGAAGATCCCATGTGCCACGGAGCAGCTAAGCCCATGCACCACAACTGCTGAGCCTGCGCTCTAGAGCCTGCAAGCCACAACTACTGAACCCACGTGCCACAACTACTGAGCCTGAGCGCCTAGAACCCACGAGCCACAACTACTGAGTCCGTGTGCCACAACTACTGAAGCCTGCATGCCTAGAGCCCATGCTCCACGACAAGAGAAACCACCACAATGAGAAGCCCGCACACCGCAACCAAGAGTAGCCCCCGCTCGCCGCAACTAGAGAAAGCCCATGCGCAGCAACGAAGACCCAATGCAGCTAAAAATAAAATAAATTTATTAAAAAGAGAAAGAAGATCTGCTCTCTTAGCAGCTTTCAAATCTGCAACACAGTACTGTTAACTAAAGTCATCATGCTGTGCATTACATCCTGTGACTTATTTACTTTATAAGTGGAAGTTTGTACCTTTTGACCCCCTTCACCCATTTTGCCTACCCCCTGTCCCCTGCAACCTCCAGTCCAATCTGTTCTCTGTATCTGTGGGCTTTTTTTTTTTTTTTTTTTTTTTTTTTTTTAGATTCCACAAGTAAGTGAGATGAAATTATATTTGTCCTTCTTTGTCTGACTTATTTCACTTAGCATAATGCCCTCAAGGTCCATCTAGGTTGTTGCAAATGGCAGGATTTCATTCATTTTTATGGCTGAATGATATTCCATTATTTCTATATCTATCTCATTTTCTTTATTCATTCGTCCAGCAACGGACACTTAGGTTGTTTCCATCATAATTTCAATTTCTGAACAAAATAGATGATTATTGCTTTGTGAAGCCACGC